CTAGCTTTGGCTTGGGTGAGGGAGTGCCTTAGGCTTTGCCTTTGCCTTCTCTCTTATCAAATGTGACCCCCGATCCCTTTTCTTTGGTTACGTAGACCTAAAAATTCTTTAAAGGGTTTGTTCACTTTTCTTTTCCAAAAAATCACTTTTTGGGTGATTTGGTACACCCTAACTCTATACCAAATGGCGACTCCTTTTCTATCTAAAACCCTTTGTGTGGCCAAACCGTCGCATTTCACAATCCCACGGCCTTTTATTTTCACTTTCACACACGTTCACATACTTATCCTATACACTACTTTCACACCATTCAAAAAGTGGGGCGCGACACTGATGGTCCCCCTAATTTGGTGGTTTTGTTGGTATGGAGTTCTGTTTTTTGGTTATTAGGCCATTTCATCCTATTGGGTGGGTAGTGGTTTGCAACTGTGGTGAAATAGGATGTTTCTGTATATTCCTCCCTTGTGCCTTCCTAATAGCTTCTAAATTTTTTTCCTGCAACTTAGCAGTCTCAATAGCATCTGCTAAAGTAAGGGGTTTGGTCATTCTGACCATATTGACAATTTCATCCTTCAGGCCACTAAGGAAACAAGATCTGTAATAGGAATCAGGTTGTCTAGGGAGTGAGATCATTACTGGTGATTTCTGCATTTCAAACTTTTCCAGGTAGTCAGCTACACTGCCAAATTGTACCAGTTTGTTGAACTCCTCGATGGCCTCTTGTGGATCTCCTTCTCCAAATCTTTCACAAACTACCAGAGCCAGCTCACTCCATGGAACTGGCCCTCTTTCAGAGTACATTCCATGAAGCCAGATAACTGCTCTATCCTTAAGATAGAGCTGAGCAATATCAAGCTTCATCTGTTCTTCCACTCCATGGATTTGAAAATACTTATTAGCTCTCCTGACCCATTCCCTAGGATTGGTTCCATCAAACAAAGGGAAGTCCATCCTAGGCAGTTTGGTTCCCCCTCTTCCCTCAGTTCTTTCATTTTTTTCCCTAACTCCCTCTACTATCTGGTCAGTTCCAGAGCTACTTCCCCCAACTTCCTTCCCTCTATCATTTAGTTTGGACATAATCTGTGCCATCATATTCATCATTCCCTCATATTTTTTATCTAAATTTTTTATAGCTTTTTCTATGCTCTCCTGCCTATGCTCCATTGTCCTCACAGCCTGTTCTACCCCATCATTTCTATTGGCAAAAGTTCTTACTACACTCCCCAGCTCAGTCAGATCTCTCCTCAGTGCCTCCTCCTGAGTTTTAGTCATCCCTCTGGCTCGTAGTTGCACTCTGAAGCAGGCAAACCCAGACGGATCGTAGCTGCTCTAATACCACTGTGATGGTATTGAACATAAACTAGACAATGGAGTTGCTCACAATTGGATTGGATATGATAACTTGCTCAGAACTTAATAATAATAACAAGTAATATCAATAATGAACTAATAAGAATTCAACTTAATGGTACTTATATTGATTGGAATAAGAAGATTACAGAATTGGCGGGAAAAGGAAAGGGGATGAACAAGAATGAAGGAAATCAGAAAAGAATAATGTTCAGGGAATGATCCCTAACAATGACTAACAAAATTGCTACTTTTCCCCTTTCTGATCATGCCTATATATAGCTAGCTAGTAACTAATTTCCCTCTGCTCTCTTGATCCAGCTTGCCCTCGTGACTTGGCTAACAGAATCTGTTGCAGGTCCACTTGCTCACTGAGTTCACGTTTCTTGAGCATTTTCCCAATAAAGGCGTGATTATGGTTTCGCGCCTTCTCTTGCCTCGTTTGTTAACTTCCATGCCTTTTGCTGAGTGCACGTCTTCTCTTCTTGATTAAGGCGTGATCCTTGCTTCCACGCTTTTAGCTTTATTTAATTAAATCTATTTCATGACATCTGCATTTTCATCCAATAGAAAGAATAAATCTGAGCTTTTCAACCACAAGAAAAAGGATCCCTAAGCCAAAATAAAAGACAAGAAGCACTTCGATATTGTAAATATTTCTTAGTACTTTCCCAATGCAAGTGAAAAAGCATTATAAATTTCTCAGTTTTCAATTGCAAATAAATACTATAATTTTCTAAGTTTTAATCACAAATACATGCTGTACAAGTGCCAAATACTACTTAGTAAAGTATGATTTTATTTCAAATGGAAGGTGAAAAATATTGTTGAACATTGATTTACGTATCATAGGCGGATTATTAATTTCAGGTCATAATAAATTAATACTCCATTGAGTCATTGAGGTGGTAGCAGATCCATATGAAAATAATTTTTTCCATCTTTTGAGAGATTTTGAAATTAGAACCATTGTTTACTATGATGTGCTATGTACAATATCCAATTTTTATCTTGATTTTACCAAAAATATATAGGAAGATAGAGAATAAAATTGTTCTTCTTCTGGGTCATTAAAATTAGTAGTTCAAATGTCCCATGCTCAAAGTTTCACAGGAGTTTGCAGGAACGTGCTATTTAGATGTCTACATGAAGTGAATCACAATGTTTGAGGATCAATTCGTTTATGCATAATTTCATGTCAACAATTTTCTAGTATTATTGAAAGGATCAAAATACCTCGACGGTAGACACTTTTTGGATTTGTAATTTTCTTCTCCTAATGAGACAAGATTTCTTTTCTTTTTTTTTTTTTGGGTGGTTGGGGGCGAGGGCGGGGGCGGTGGAGAAAGACAGGGAAAGATAAGGAAATATAATAATTTAAATATGCCTTTTTTCAGTTGAAAAGTTGAATTTCAATGGATAGAATATTTTCCTAGTCATGACAAGAATATACAAAAAAGAAGGGGTTCTAGATTCATACTTATAATGGGCAGTGTTTTGAAAATTGGATCGGACCGGCCGATTCGACCGGTTGAACCACGAACCGCCCATGGCACCGGTCCGGTTCTATATTAGAGTTGACTTTGTCAGAAAATCGATCAAAATCGGTCAACTCGTGAAAAACAGCTGAACCAGATTGAACCGGTGGTTTCCGGTTTTCAAGTTTCCCCTCTTTTTTTTTTTTTTTAAAGTTTTACAAAATGCAGCTATCAAGATTCGAATTCAAGACTTTTGTAATAGAAGACCAATATAGTAACCATTGCACCATCACATCTTATTAGCTTTTTTTGATAACTTATTTATATAAAACAATCCATTTTTTTTTTTACAAAATCTCATCCTCTCATGACTCTTTCTTTTTAATTTTTAACTCTCTCTCTCTCCTCTTTTCTTTTGTCACTTCTTTTTTAATCAAACCTCTTTAGTTTGAATTTATTGATGTTTTCTTCCATCTTTTAATTTTGTTTTTATCCATTAAATTGAAAAAAGTTAAAAAAGAATTATTTTTCTTTAACCCAAATAATTAAATTCATAACTACTCACTTTTATCTCATTTTTTGTTTCTTATCAAATTTGCATTTCTATTTTCGATTCTCTTGACTTCCTTCAAACTCCAAACTTACTTTTTTAAATTGCAATCTCTAAATCTCAAAAACGTAAATTAAAATTTAAGTTCACAATGTTTAAATTCTCATAGACGTGAATTTTGTATAATTTCAAAATATTGTGATATTTTTGGGTTCAATTTAAGATTTTTTTGGTAGATATAATTGAAATTGAGATGAAATTTATTTGTTTCAACTTATAATTTAAAAATTTTATTTTTGAAAATCCAAGTTATTCAAAAATAGTAAACTTTTCATCATATAAAGTTTAAAATTAGTCCATTGCATGTCTTATTTTGTGCATATATATATTTATATAAATTATTTTTTTTAAATTCATTGAATCGGGGTGAATCGGTCAGACCGGTTGAGTTTCGACCCTTTCACATCACCGGTTCAATTGATGGTCCGGATTTTAAAACATTGATAATGGGCCCAAACAACAAATACTGTGCAATAAAAGAAAATGTGGAAAAAGACTGGTTCAAGTTACGAAAAAAGAAATGAAAAAGAAACACCAAAATCAAAGATAAAGAAACCAAAAAAATCCTCCATCATGGCATATCAGATAATTTGGATGTATGAAGGCTAATTTTTTTTTAAAAGTATGTGCTAATCTATATTGGAAGTATAAAGCATCCAAGATTCCGCAAGGATTGAGACAACAGAATAGGTGGTTATTTAGCAATGCCCAATAAAAAACATATTTGAAAGTTTAACAAATCCGCAATTGCTTTTGACTAAACAAATGCATCATCAAGGTGGTTTGTACAGACAGCGAATTTGATTAAAATGTTTGAATCAAGTAATAAGTTGACAGAGCAATGAACGACCACTAAATTATATGCAAAAGCATAGCAAAAGATGACTCTAATGTTCTTCATTTTGGCATTCAGTTTTCATATGACAGAGAAAAAAACTTTGAATCTATTAACGATCTATATTCCAAATATATTTTTTTTACTAAAATTAACTAACCTTATGGTTTTAACGTGCTTAATCGAGCATTTGATATCACGAAATAAAGGAGAATAAAAAGTTTGAAATTCCATTCTCTGTTTGTGAAAATTCTAAATTTTGCTAGTCGCACATGTGAGATGAAATTACCGCAACGTGCTTGATGACAATTGGAAAAGATTAAAAAAAATCCAATAATTTAATAATATATATATGAAAGATTTTTCTGGACTAAACACAAACAAAGGTTACACTTCGTTTTAACATTTATTTATATATTTCTAGAGTTTCCAAATTATTTAATCCTTGTGGCGGAGTGAGCCACCTTAATTGTAAAGCAAATATTTAATTCATTAACCTTTTGTCCTAGGTATTTTATGCAAACTCTCTTGTTTTGTTGAGCATATATATGTACCTGTCTAATCATGCACATAATTCAGCATTGGTCAAAAGAAAAGGGGGATATATTGTTTAAATTACAGCTAGAGAAAAGTCTCATTGGGAATTATCTTTACCTCTGAGTAATTTGGTGAGACAAAATTACTGAATTTTGTTTTTGACTTGTGAAACAATAAAATTGTTAACAGATTTGACGCTAGAAAATATAAATTTTTACGAAACTGACAAGACGTGACAAACATTTGAGCTACAAAGATACAACAAAAATTCGAAGTACCAGCACTCCGAAATTAATGAGATTTCTTCATCACTACATATTGTTGACACCTACTAGTTGTCAGAGAAACATTCAAAAAATAAAAGAAAACTAAAATTACAAGGAATATCAAAGACCCTAGATGATCAAACTTCTAGCAAGTTCCAAGGATGAATGTCGGCCTTAGTGATTTGTTGGAAAGACATCACTCAATGGTTAAAAGTTATACTAGGGATATCAGGCTGATCTTCCCCAATAGCTCACATCATCGTGAAGGTTTGGCACCCCACAATCGGCTCTTTGCCACCGGGGCTGTAGTACGTTCCAAAAGTTGGGCCATTCGCCCATGCTAATTAATGTATTGAAAAGAGAAATGTAGAAGAAAAAATACCAGTGTTTAAAAGCCATTGCTCTTTAGAACAGACTACTGAGTTTTTGTTTTGATCTGATATCAGCCTGCAATTGTGGCAAAAAACGGGTTAGAAAAGTCCAACAGTGGCAAAAGAATAATTTAACAGAAAATTTCTTTAGTTGACCAAATGAAAGACGACTCAGCTTTACTCTTAAGTAACTCCAGAGGAAGCTCACTTTATTTTATCCAATATGCACAAAACTCTTTCCTACCACTAGCTTGAAGCCTGATGATACAATAAATGGTAATCACTCCAGCAAAAAGAAGGCTATGAGCATAATCTTCTTGCTGAATCTTTTGCATAGCCGGATTTCTCAGTAGAACATAAAAAAAATAAAATAAAGCACTCCCACCTGGTAATTAGCAAAATAGATCGACTAGGTATAATATAAGGCGAGTGCTATGGCGGGCCCGTCCCTAAGATTCTATACAAATTTCATAGTGGTCATAAACTTTAAAGCAGAACATTTCAGGCTAAAGTTTTATACATGTATACGTTTTGGTCCTACATGAAATCAACGTGTTCATCTTCAATGAAAACCAGCACTAAGCCCATGAATACGAGCACAAACAAAAACTCAATCCTTGTTTTCGTCCAAAGTCAAATTCTGCGACCTGGAAATGTCAACCAATAAACAATGTGCTGATACGTTGCCCAAACTCCAGAGTCAAATTGTGCAACCTGAAAACGTCTCACCCAAACTATTTATGTTGATTATAAGTCCTCGTTTGGCCACTCTGTATCCATTTACCTTTTGCTTTTAATTTTTTTTCTAATAGGAGACGGGTGAGAATTAAGAAGTGGGAAGGGGAAAAGGGAATTGGAACCCAGGACAGCCAAGTCTTGAGGCTTCAACCTTAGCCACTGGGCCAAGGCATCCTCTACTCCGTATCTATTTACTTTTTGAAAAGAGAAAGTATATGACTTTCACACGGAGAATAACATATATTTTATGGACGATGCTGCGATAGACTTGTAAATCTTTATGGTTGATTGATAAATTAAAACAATTACGACCAAATGTAATACATTAAAACTATAAGGCCTTCTTGACAATCTACCAAATAAGACCTGTTGTCAGGTTTTTTAACTAGAGATGAATAAAATATGCCTTTGGAGTAGGCATCATATTGACAAAACCCTGGTTCAAGGAACTATAAACAGTTTCTTTACTTTGGTTAGCAGAACTTATTTCAGATTTGGCTTTGAATTATAAAAGAGGGCTTCAACAAATAAAAACAGAAACCTTTGTGAATCCAATGGATACACGCTAGTGCTAAATGCATCCAACAGTTTTTGGTAAGAAGTAAGAAAGAACACTAAAGGTATTAGTTCAACAATCTCCATCTGGAAAACAAACAAAATTACCAGGAATGATTATTAACATAGGCCAACCACAAAGCCTCATAGCATGTCGATGAGTGTTAAAGATTTCAGACTCTCCAAAATACAAATTTGATTGACCATGAGAAAGTATGTGAAATATAAAAAGAACAAATTTCAGCAGTTTGCTAGGTGCCAGTCGCAAAGATAGCTGAAAATTCAATGGTAAATTATCCATAAAACATCTCCAAGTGAGTACCTCAAAATGTTTCTTCAATGAATTCACAAGAGATAAATTTGCAATCTGTCACATCTACACTATGCATATTCACCAAGCCAAAAAACGAACTACCACATAACTTTTACCTGCCGGATGGGTTCTGGGATGCGGAATCTGCAAGTCATCTTTACAACTTTAATGGCAGTAGCAAGCGATACACGGTGACCAACTGAAACAAAAATGGGTTTCAATAAGCCTTGGGTTGATCTCAAAGCCTGCAATCCAGTTAGCCAAGACTGTTACTTTGAATGACAAAGATCAATGCAGCAATTGTACATTTTATTACATGAAGCATACTTCAGGACTTTTAAAAACAATATTCCGAGTCTTGAACAAGCTGTAACAAGAATAAAGCATGGTAGGACTTAGGAAGTCTACAAACAATGAACAGTAAGCATATCAAGTCAGGGAAATATTATAAAGATCACTAAGGTGTGAACAAGTACCGAAAACTAAATTTCAGATAGCCATAACAACATTCAGCAGTCCTTTTGCCACTTACTTGACAAAGGAATTCTATTGAGGACATATACATCCAACATGGTTTATGACAAAAAATTCTTTATTTTGTTGTAAACAAGCAGTGTTAATGTACACTAATTTGCCCGGTCGCCATGATTTTCCAGAAAACTCCATTCCCGCTAACCTCCATTGAATTTTCAGAAATAGGAGGAATTATTTTATCTGATTCCTTTCACATGTTAAAACTGCCTACATCTGAAAACAAATTAGACAACATAGTGATTGGTTTCTCTGAACTGACTATCTAAACAAAGCTAGCTGAAATTTAGTTGATAAGGAATAAACTGTTGTTTTCAGGAACTTTACAAGCTACAAACCAAACAGTGTTAAGACTGTTAGTATCTTTGAAGTCGAGGGATAAGAATAAAGAGTAGGAGTAGTGTATATAGTAGTGCATCACATACGTCATACAAATAAGCAATTAGATCTCTTACCATTCCAAAAGTTCTCCCAGAGTCCCCGATTAGAGTAAAGACATCTCTAGATGAGTTTTCTTTGACTTCAAGGAGTTGTCTGACTTTTGCAAGGGTCAGACCATCAACATGATGTAACTGACATGTTTTATACCAGAAAGTTTATAATGTTAGAAGCATTACGCATATATGAAAAGGGAATCATCAAGTAAGATTATGCAATTTCAAACAATTAAAATAAGTTTATAATCATCTCCTGCACCAGAAGGAAGAATCTAGACTTCCAAGTTGATCCAAGAATGTAATATATAATAACTCTTATAGAAGTAAGCAAACGGACAAAATGCATTTAATATCCTGTCCAGCACAGGGAAATACTGCACAAGAATAGAAATAATGCAACCAATGGGAAGTAGGGCAAGTCATTGCTTTTGACAACATAGTATGGGACTTACCTTAATGAATGTACAATAGACTCAAATGTGGTAAGGTCAAATTGACCATGTATGCTACCTGCTTTTTTTTAATACTAAAATCTGATCTTGGAAAGTGTGATGATTCCGTGATAAATAACTTTCCCAGTTTATTCAATCAATAAGCCATTTTATTACTGGTTTTACCTCGTATCTTTAAGGTAAAACCAACAACTTATGATCCCAATCTCAACCATCATTTCACAATTGAAAAGCAATGAAATTCCTTTATCTTTCTAAAGGTCCATCAAATTGGGTTTTCTTCATCCTTGAAGTACCAATGAAAGAGGAGCGTGAATGGTTAATCTTAAAACACAGACAATTTCAAAGACAACATTATTATCTGTTTTAAACTGAAAGTAATATAAAACTCCCGGATTTGAAATTCAATAGTTTTCAAGAAGATACGAGGTAAGCATTTTTACTTGGCAAATCAAAGTAGAGATTAAAAAAGATGAATGGTGATAAAGTTATCGCTGCAGATTAAAGAAAGAAAAAAAATCACAGGTTGATACTAATGTCACACCTACTCGAAAACATAGAATTGGTCGAGATAAGGTAAGAGGTTTTGATAGTGTACAATAGGGATTCCAGAAGCAGTAAAGGATTTGGTGAAATGAGAAATTACAAGATTTGACATAACCTAACCATGCTCACCTCTACTCCCTCTGCCCTGTCGCTATTATCATGGTTTTTTGCTTTTTTGGCTCAAACAAGCTTACATGAATAGCACATTTTCAATGGTTATGTAGCATAAAAATGGTATAAATTCACAAATAATACTGTACATGGTTCTGCGAACTAACACCCTGTTGTAAATAGATGAAATTTCATAAGTTTGACCACATTTTACAAAGAACAACAAAAGCATGAGACTAGCAGATAATAAATTAGAATAAAAGGGCAAAACAAATGAGAGAAAAAGTCACAATAGGGCTTCAACCAAAATACACAAGGAGATATGAGCATGAAATAAAAACCAACATTTTTTCCTATCCCAACTGTAGGAAGATTAGCCAGAACTCCAAGATGACAAGCCAATCCAAAGCCTACAAAACTTTCACAGTTTAGAGCTTTCTCCTGAGAGCAACCAATATTAACGACATTTTGAGAATAAACAGAGTATTGTTTCCTGTTGAGACTAGTAAGCAGAAAATCAGACCAACCAATAACTAAATGTAAGACCTAGAAACAGCATCATATGGTTTTGCATATGGGGGAATTCATGTACTGGCAAAGGAAGTGTTGGAACTAAAGGCCCTTACAGATTATCTAAACAATCCCACAAACACTGGCAAATCAGAACGACATGTGTATTACTCCACGAACACAAATATGTTTTTAGGACATGTATCAGGTTTCAGCAACTTCAACTTATTCAAAATCTACAGTGTCAGAATAATCTTTTATTGAAACTGGCTTAGCGATTGTAAATACAACATTTTATCAAGCAAAGTATGTCGTACTTTTCAACATTAGTTAGAAAAAAATCTACCGGATTTTTTAGAAGAATAGGCTCTGACATTTGTTCTCATACTGATCCCCTAATACCTTGTTTTTTTCTCAGCACGCACTGGTCACACACAAAAATACCTCTTGCAGTAAGTGTTACAAAAGACAAGGATTTAGTAGAGAATGGACAGACCTATCTAGAACAACTAATGTTGATACTCCAAAACTGCTGTTATCTTTCTAAAAGCACTCATTTTCTGGTTTTCTTTTTTTAAAAAGAAAATATCTATAAAAAAAAAAGAAAATATATCTATCTCCTTTATGACTACAAGTACGTGCAAGTGCAACCTTCCAACAAAAAGCTCACTGTCCTTGTCTCTAGAATGCAAATCTTTAGCACAAATATATTGTCAAATATGTACAAACAACAGGGAATGCCAAATGGCTAGTCATCCCAAAATTGTTTCTTGAGATGTTATACCATCATCGGAACAGCTTCAGTATTAGTTTATCAAGTAATTTAAACATTCAGAAACCATTGTCTTCCCGGGCATTTAGTTGGTTACTGAGTCCATCCTCCTAACACCCCAAAAGGTTATAACAAATACTGCTTGCAACAAATTCTCTATATCTCAAGATTACATTCTCAGCAAAACAATGAAAATAGTTTGTGTGTTAGCACCAAAAGCAAACCGCCCGCAACTTTTTGAACATTTTTCACTAGCGGACAACGGATACTTCATGACCTGCAATTCAATATATGACTTTAAAACATTTTATATGACCTACAAGTCAATATTATATTTCAAAGGTATGAGAACCTCCAGAGGACTTTGAAAGAAGACAATGCTTCCCAAAGGGATGCCTACCTACCGCAAATACCAATCAGCTTAAGCATCATTACTATCATCAAGACTGCAGCACACTGTTCTCACTGGCTTGTTTACTAAATCTCAACCAAAGTTATGAGAACCTCTGCAGGAGTCTGAAAGAGGATAATGTTTCCAAAGCCATGCCTACCTACCGCAAATATAAATGACTTAAGCATCAATACTAGCATAAAGACTGCAGCACATTACTCTCACTGACTTGCTTGTTTACTAATCTCAAACGTTTGCCGCTGGTTTCCCTCTCAAGACTATTAAGTAAGAAACTTTTTATGCCAAAAGAGATAAATGTTACTTTAGCATTCTCTTGCAGCTTTGGATACTTCACCGATAAGGTAAAACCATGTTGTAATGAATCATGTCATATAACATTCTCTTAGCTTCTTGTCAATAGTAATATAACAAGAACAACAATTTTCAGCTATTCAAGATGAATATAAGTGCTTTCACTGTCAAAGTTTTTCTTTCTCAAATCTGTTCTTGGTAGCATACAAATTCTGTACCTACTCACCTTAATTTTAAAGTTTGTGATGCTTTCACACCCATAAACGAAACTTAAATCCTCTTTCCCTTGCTCTTACTATCTTAATCTTCCAATGCTCAAAAAGATTCCAAGTACATGATCTATCTCTAATGGCACTATGGTGTGGAGTAGACATACTGAGTATTGACAACCATTAAAAGTTTTTAGTAGGATGTATATTAGTTGCTAGATTTGCAGCAAGGAAAAAGTAATTCATATTTCAGCTGTCAAAACCAGAGGGTGCAGGAAGCAGTTAACTTGTAGAAAGTCAAACTGATCGAAATGTATGATGAAACTTCGAGACATGATAAAGTTTGAAAGTAATTGCTTCCAAAAATTAACTCTTTTTTTCTAGATATTTTTTTTCCTTGTGTAGAAGAAAAACCGGTCATGCTAATGCAGGTTGGATGATGAATACTCACTAAACTCATAGCAATAAAGAGCCCATCCCTAATGATTTCAACAAGCGTAAGCACAATTATGTCAATTTCAAGCCCATAAGAAAATTGTGAAACATGACATTACAAGTATAGGATCCAAGTCTATTAGAATGAGCAACTTAACAAAATAATTTAGGCACTAATCTTTGATAGGATATCCATGACAAATACTCACTCTAATACCACTTATTAGTGGAAAGAAGGAAGACTTGCCTCGAGGATGAAGAATGCCATTGCCATCAACCATCAATAACTGTTGGAATAAGAGATTTATTAAGAAACACAGTGTTGAATAGCCAATCTTGAATAACAAGAAAAAGTTGAAAGATTCCATGGCTGGTTATGTAAATTGATGATTATCTATTTCACAAAATAAGCATGCACTCTATTGGAATTCTTAAGTGCCAAAACAACACACGCTGAATCACACCTTCTCATGTTTCTTATGGTACTATGCTATATTTATGGTACTAGTACCCATTCTTGGAATTACGGCACTGGAAGAAGTTGAATGGTCACAATAAGGAGCAAGAATGGGTTCTATCCTGCACATGCTGATTCAATGATTAAGATGGACTTTACATTCTATCTCCATTTCCTTTTTGACTGACATTCAAGACAAAAAAAATACAGCCAAACAATTTGAGAAGATAACCATTACTTGGGGGTAGAATGGATGTGCAGACTTCTTCATTTTCTCCAGAAGCTCTAGAAGTACAGGAGCCTAAAATTCATCAAAAAAAGAAAAAAAAAAGAATAAACTCATAATTTAGGAGAAACAATAAAAAAAAAATTAAAAAGCCATTAGAGATGCAAATAAAGATGAAAAGAGAGCACCCCCAACAGCTTTACAACGGGTAATAGCTTTGTATTGCCCCCTCTCTCCCCCCCCCCCCCCCCCAAAAAAAAACCCCCAACAAAAAAAAACCCAAGTTCATATATTAGAAATACTTAAAATTTACATAATATTAGTAGTATGATCTAATAAATAAGAATTAATCTTTTCTATACTGCAATATATACACTATAGCATTGAATAAATGACCGCTATAAAAAATTTGAATTTGAAATTTAATTTTGTATATATGTCATGAATCCAACGGCGATAGTGTATACATTAACAGTGTGTATAAGATTTACTCAATAAATAAGGCGGAATTAGTAAAGAAGGAAAAATTTTGAAAATTTTATTCTAAAGATTTTTATCCCTTATATTTTTTAATGAAATCCACATTATATACAAGATAAGTTTTACAACAGTAACTCAAATTGCACTCCTTCCACAATGAAATCCACATTATGTACAAATTACAGTAACTCAAATTGCACTCCTTCCACAATTATACCTATAAGAAAAAGGAAACTCAGACAACTGGAGCAATGTGTAATCTCAAAGCTAATGCACTAATTAAACTTCAGCAACAAAAAAAATGATGGGCATAATCATATTATTAACATTCAGGACCTCTCTGAAGGCAAGGAAGCCAGGAACATAAGGAACATCAAGCTTAACAAGAGACGAATCTTCATAGACAACATTAAGATTGTTGAGGAGATCCAACACCACAAGAGTACCACATGCCGTTGAAGGATCGTCTTTTGCGAAGCTCAAATCAACTCCACCCACATGTCTCAGTATCTCTTCTTCTTCTTCTTTCTTTGCGGGAAGGCGTAGCTTCCAGTAGAAATCATCATCTGTGATCAGTTTTTTCTTGAGCGAATCTTGAATTCTACATCAGATTCGACAAAAACCAGAATGAAACATCACACAATTGGCCCAGAAAATTGTCAGATTTGATAGCTCGAAATCATATAGTAGCACATACTCCAGCCATTCGTCACGGAGTTGGGCTGAAGAATGGGTTTCTGAACAAGGGTTCTCTTCCATGACAAACAAGATTGGGAGTTGGTAGAAAAGAAAAGAAAAGAAAACAAAACAAAAGAAAGCCTGGGTGAGAAGAGAAAAGAATTGGGAGTTCAGGATAAAAAAGAAAACAAACGAAAGGAAAGTTTGGGCGAGAAGAGAAAGGAAGGGATGAGAAAACATGCAACTTTCTTTCAATGTTGTCTTGGGAACTTAGAATAATAAAAGAAAAAAAAAGATTTTCTTTTGGATCAATTACAATTAATTCTCTTAAAGTATAATTCATTTTTTACTTTACTCCCTAATCTTTAATTTTTATCACTTAAACCCTTAGAAGGCAGAATTACCTTTACATTATTTTGAATTTTCATTTATTTTCCCCCCTTTTTCCCCCTTCTTTACTTCCTTTTCTCTTTCTTCTTTCCTCTCTTTTCCATTCTTCTTACCAAAAAACTTCATCTAAACAGAAAATATTATTTAGAGGTTGTAATTGGGTTTATGGGTGAAACTTTGGAAGGCACCAACAGCTGATTTCGATCTTTTGTAAGATGCCATGTGTTGCAAATTCCAATTAATGATTATTAATCATGTCACAAATTTATCTTCTGATGTTTTTCTGAGAATAAAATAAGAAATTATGTTGGGAAAGGAAAACGCAAAAGAATTGAAATGTAAAAAAAAAAATGGTATCTTGGGGAAAGGATTTGAATATTTTGTGATCATTTGAAGAGAAATAGATTTCAGCAATTCCTCTTTTTTAGCTTTAATCACTAAAATAAGTTTCTTGTGAGAAGGAAGAAGTAAGGAAACAAGAAAGAGACAAAGAAAATAGAGGGAGAAAAGGAAAGAAAAAAATGCAAAAGGGAGAAAAAAAAAGAAATTAGAATAATGGAGGGATGATTTTGTCCAATAGGGATAAAGTAAGACAAAAAAAAGGTTAAGAGACAAAGTAAAAAATAGGGTATACCTTGAGGGGATTAATTGTGATTAACCATTTTCTTTCATTTGGGTTTCATTTGGGACTTGAGAGAAGTGCAAGGAAACGGTTGTCTAAATTGTTACTTTTACAAGTGTGCCTTATATTAAAAAGGTCTTCTAAAGTAGGTAATTGCAGCAAAACTGAAAGCTTTAGCTTTAAAACTTTAAACATCTTTAAGTCAAAGGAAATTTAGCTGGTCAAGAGCTTATTAATTTACCCCATTTAAAGTACAATCTTAAGTATATAAAAGCCTCATAGCATGAATGAACAATAAGGAATGGTAACCTATGACCGGTTATATTGTGATTTGCTGTCTAATGGAGGATAATTTCATCTTTTGGCTATGAATAGGAGTGGGCTTATTGGGAAATAGCTGTTGACCAAGTGAATCTTGTAGGCTGGTGATGGCTAAAACATTTGTGGGGCGCTATTTTTTTTTTTTTTTTTTTGTTGAAGGAGGGGTGCTAATTGTTAATACATTTTCTAAGCTTATCTGGCTCAAGAGGAGCCTTTGGATCTTGGCTAAAGGCGCTTGTACCGACAACATCATTTGAGTGGGCGGTTGGCTTTTCTGCCACCAATATCTAAAGGGATAATTTCAAAAACCTCCCTTGAGGTTTTATGAAATATCACTAACCTCCCCTCATGTTTTCAAAATCTCTCTTACAATCCCTCAAGTGATTGTGGCCTCGTGCTATCAAAGGGGTGAATTGTTAACAAGAACCTTGTTTCTGTTAGCAATTATTCGGCTACTAAAAAGCAAAAAAAAAAAAAAGACAAAAAATAAAAGAAAGCATGTAATAGCCTAAAACCTGGGAAACAATTGGTGCCTTCCTTACTCTTCTTCCATACTAATGAAGGCACAAAATGCACTAACAAGACTTCCAAAGGCGCGCAAATGAAGGGACAATGAAATACTACTTACAAAAGGACTAATATTTGAAGCTTGTAGAACTAGTTGAAGCTGTTTTCCTCTCTTCTGTTTCACTCTAAAAACAATACAAGGCTAGATATTGCATAGGAGGAGAAATTTGCAACTTGAGTTTGTGGAATTTCCTTTGGAGTGAAGGCATCATTCTCAAAACTAAGCTGCACAAGAGGTAAAAATCTTGAGCTGGTGCTTTATATGATCAATAAGTAATAGGAGATGATCTAGGTTTTATGATTAAAGTAGATTCATAAAGCTCTGTTTTTCTTGATGATCTAGGAAGCCATTGTTGGTTGTGAGATTTTCTTGATGATCAGGCCATAATAGCTCTATTTTTCTTATCTTTTTGTTTTTTGTTGGACTTTATGACCAAGTTTACAATCTAACCAGAGCCTTTGTTGGTCTTATTTTATTAAGTATTATTGATGTTGACTGCTGACTAACGTGTGCTTTGATGATAGATGCTTGACCTTTATTTTATTTTGATGAACAATTTAATGACTATTTAGTTTTTGAAGCTGTAATACATAAGTATGGAGTAGGCTTGTAGATAAAAGCTGCAATACAAATGAAAAGCTAGTCAAGTTGCTTCTTCATACTTGGTGTTGAAAGGGTTTTGTTTGTAACTTGAGTTTTACTTTGAACAAGTATGCATCTGGTATACTATCTACAATGTTTCAAAATGTGATCCTTATAGCAGCTGATTGAAACTTTTGTTGGCAACACACTGATATGTAGGAGCACTGTGACGACCCCACTTCTCCCAAGGGCGAACCCAAGGGTATCGGCGGGCCGCCTGCCTAGCTCGCGCCAGGACTCAAAACTTAAAGCAATAAAACTAGATAAATCGAAAGAGTGCTATATACATTATATACAATCCCAAAAGTTATATTTACATCTTCAAAAGTCTCGAGTCAAACCATTCTAATACACTATAACCACAACCAGCAGAAGATAGACCCTAAGGAGGGTCCTTATACAAACCACTAAAACAAAAACAAACATACTAACTGTCCGACTATTACAATCAAACCTAACTATACTAGTGTGTGTGCCAAAAGTTCCCCGCGTCGGTCCCTGCTAAGGAAAACAAAAGGAACGGGGTAAGCTACATGCTTAGTAAGTAAACAGGGGCGAAAGCATAAATTCACATAGTAACGATTACACAATCAGAGTAAAGCAAAAGCAGAAAAGAACAACATCATATAATAAGGATACGGGTGGCTCCAAAGCCAATTCATGTGCCATGTATGATCTCCTGCCGACACTCCGTCGACCGCAAATAATAGTCCGTAGAACCCCGCTTGTACACCCACCGAATACCTTATCACCCTCACTGGCCAGTCACCTCACAAACTTGCTCGAGCGAACGAAATTGAACTTGCTACGCAAGATCGGTTCACAAACTTGGTCACCTTCTCGGTGAACCGGATTCACAAAATTGGTTCATAACATGAACTTACAAACTTGGTGACCTCAGACTAAGTTGGACTGACTTCGACCAAGCCCTAACCGGCTCGAATAGTCCATACAGGTCTTAGATCGGGCCCACGAACTCACAAACTTTGCAAACTTCACAAACTTTACTCGAAAGTCGCCCCGAGCCACAAGCTCAAGGGTTTTGGTTCCAAAAGGTTCATATACATATGCCAAGTACAATTATACATTCAAATTAGGGTTTAGGTCGAGTGCGATAAAGTACACCCTCGCCTAAGTACCCTTTTCACACATCGCAAACACATAGCAAAGAAAACACACCAAACTGGCCTGAATACTTACTCAGAAACTCAAATAGCAAAAGTACGAAGTCGGATCGAAATGAACAGCTAGTAGTGGGCCCCACCAGCTCCGCCCAGCTCACCACCGTCTGAAACAGAAGATTGTGTCACATAATATCACAAACGACTACTATCGTGCCTAAAATAAGCAAAACGGCAAAACGGCACGCGCGCACGTAAATATGACGGACGGAAACGGAAACGGCCGTTAGCGGAAACGGCAGATTTGACACTCGTTTCTATTTTAATCATAAGTTGATCTACGAATATCGAATTAAGGCGTATGAGACGCCATATCGAAGCTTAAAGGATGAACAACAATTGTTATGAAGACATCCAGAACTGCAACTGGAGGCTTCAGCCCCAAATGAACCAAACACAATCACTTACGAAATCTGGCCAATGCACAAATGGTCAGTTTTGGGGTGCAAACTGTTTTCTATGCTACACATGGTCAAAAGAGCTGAAAATTGGCAGCTAGATGGTTCATTCTAAATGGAACAACTTTCATGAAGGTCGGCAATCCAAATTCGGAACGGAAATTGGTCATCAGGACCAAAACAGATCTGACCAGAAAATGGTCACTTTCACGGGTAGGCCTTATTTGCTCGGCTATATCTCAGATTTTATAAATCCGATTCATGAAACTCCAAGGGCGTTAGAAAGCTCTGATATAGGGCTATAAGTTTGGTGTTTTGGTCGCAAGCCCAAACAGCTTGTAACCTAGTCAAATGTGAAGCCAAAGTTCCAGTCGTAAACTGTCTGGATATAAAAACAGTTCTGACATGCATTCTTATTTCGATCATAACTAGAGCTACGGAACTCAGATTTTGACGTACTTTATAGAGTTTCGAAGCTGTGACCAAGATCTACATTTCTTATGAAGAAGTCGACACCCAGATCGTACTCTATCAAAATCGAAAAAGTCACGGTCAGAAACTTTCCAAAAACGTAACAGAATTTGACGGTCAAAACAGGTCTGAGTATTTCGTTTATAACGCAGGATATACTAATCCGTTTAACCTGAAAAATTTACAGGAATATCCAGGACTTAAGGGGCTACATTTCATTAGAAGACCATAACAACTAATTCCAAAGCAATCCCAGTCAAAATAGCGCATTACAGGCGCAGTTTCTTCATCCTGATGAACCCAGAACAGCAACAGAAATTTCGACTTATCTCATTCTACACTACTCCAAATGATCTGAAATTTTACAGGCACCTTAAACACATCAATACCTACAACTTTCATGTTTTAAGCTAAGGCCAATTCGGCCTCTATCTATGACCTAAAATTTCGGACAGAAAGAAGAACCAAGGAACCCTAATTTTCCAGATTTCTTCCAAAACATAAATTACTTGAAATCTTCCACTTTTTCCACCTTCTAGGATCATTATACATCATTTCCAATCATCATAGATAGCCACACAATCATGCTTATATTAAAACAGAAAAATCCCCAAAAATAATAAAAGTTCATCACTTCAA